GTCTGTGAAACATAATCAGAGATCGGATATAATCTGGAAAGAGGGTGAAACAGTGTTGCTCCTCATCGGAGATAGTCTTCCCTGGTATCTCTCACTTATTCGGAGATCGGTATGATCGGAGATTTCAGTAAAACTCTCAGCATTATCCACGTTTATGTTCCCACCACAGGCAGCAACAGCGATGAGCTAGAAGTTCTTTTGTGCTAAACTCGAATTTACATTAGACATCAGGTCTACATGTACGGTCATCACGAGGATTTCACAGGGAAAGCTTCAGGAAGGGATGGAAAGAGGTACAGTGGTTGGTACAGCACTGGCAAGAGGAACGACAAAGGTGATAGATAGTGGCGGGATCCGCATACTGTTTATTGGTAGTGCCTAATTCCTAAGAAATGCTGAAAGTAGGTGAAGATGGTTTGCACCACACGCAAAAAAAACGAAATCGACCAAATCTTGGTCGATGTTTGATGCATTGCAAAAATGTCCCTTCTTCAGTGTAGGAAGTGACCACCTGATGTTTCGGGCATTTGCCAAGTTGAAGTGTCCTTTTAATGTGTTGAGTATCACCGTCGTGCATAGGGCGCTCCAGCTCCTAAACCGCGATGAGTTGCCTCATTGATTAGGGGAGTTTTTCTTATTTTTTCATAAATGGACGTAGAGAGCGTCCTTCTTGGCTCCATCAACTTATAAGTTGGTTGGGAAGTAATGGCATATTAACTGATCGCAGTACTGTGACAGTGCGTTAGTTTTGCAGGGAGAAACAGCGGCTTTAGAGGCCGCAGCTGCAGCTGCCTCGGTTGCCTCGTACGTCGAGTCGGCATCTTCAGCGAACGAAGCTGAAATTAATAAAATTGAAATGGTCAGTTCACTTCCTCGTCATCAGCTTTCTCGAACTACTGATTCGAAATTAATGCAACTTTTTGGATGACGCAGTTTGCCTTGGTCCCCGTAATTTTGCGTGAATTGAAGATGGAGTTGGGTGGCGTGCAAGCAATGGCACAGGCGCACTCGTTGGTTTCCACGGCGGTCGGCGGTGTTTCGGGTTCGCAGGTTTCAATGCCAGCGGTGAGCGAGCTGTCCAATGTGAGCAGCGGCTCGATTTCCGATCGTGAACTGCCAGAAACACCCGAGAAGCACACAAAACCGCCGAAAGCAAATAGCTCCGATAAAAAGCCGCCTCGTAAACGAAGAAAAAATGACGACAGTCAGCAGCCGAAGACCGATCGCAAGGTCACCGAATGTTTCAAGGTGAGTTGTTCTTGTAGTTTTCCCAGTTCATGCGAATTAGAACTATTCAGGAGATTTTAAGGATAGAAAAGAAAACCTCTGCCCATAAAAGGGGGTGGGGGAAGGAAGTTTGCCTGGAAAAATATTGATGGAGAAAGGGGAGAACGGAAAATGAATGGTTTTTTCGCAAAATACAATCAAAAACGTACAAGAGAAATCTATTGGGAGCCAGAATTTTGGTACGTGATGAATCTGCATGAAATTGGGCATGAACTTAGGCATTTAAGCAAATGGATAGGCATGTAAATGGGGCTTAAAAAAGGCGCTGTGGTTGGAATAGTTGGTACCGGAATTGACGTGCTTTCCTGTCTTTGTTGGGAAATGCTTCTGATAGTATATATATATATATGAATCTATATTTTATATATGTATTTATATCTATTTGTGTATGTATATGCGCATTTTGCCATACCTTTCTGTAATGCGAGCTGCGTTATTTCATCATTAGCACGCGTGCTACGAAAGCTATGGATGACTTTATTATATCTGTTCTGACCGGAACTGCCACTGTATCAATCCTGCTTTCTGGCCTCTTCCTCATTTTCTAGAAAAATTCCCTCCTCTTACTCTGTTTACGTAAATGTGTGTATGTGTTTTAGGGCGTAGT